CCCAACCTCTGGCTCCACAGTTAGAGACTTAAAACCCTAAGCTATCCAGTCCCCATATCTTCAAATATCATGGCTACCATCATCACTACCATCATCACTACCATCATCGCCATCACCATCACCATCACCATCACCATCACCATCACCATCATTATCATTATCATTATAGTATTAATCACTGTCCATTTATACTGCCACTAATAACTCTCCATTTCTCTCCCACTCCTGTAGTGCACACCTTCCCACAGGGGTTCTCAAGCAAGGACGAAATTACTCGTAGTCATATTACTTCCAGCAGCTCCATCAACACAAACACACACACCTCCAGTGCATTACTAATACCCACCAACACACCTTGCAAAAAAAAAGACAACTAGTCACACTCATAACAATATTTTCAGAAATGCCTACACCATTCCCTCCCACCATGTGCACTGTGATATTCCCAATTTTTCAAAACCAGTTCTAAGATCATCATCGCGGCTGAAACCCATTAGTCATTTTTTTTGGGGGGGGGGACTTTGCTTTTTATTAGTACCCTTGTAATCGGTGGTACAGATCCTAATGCTGTCTGTCAAAGACCCACAATTATCTGAACCATCCCATATCAGCCCCACTGCCCTCAGGAAGAGTAATTAGCAGTGGTGTTGGCAACGAGCATTTTATACTGGTAACTAGCAATTAACAGCAGTCATGCTAAGAATACTACTTAGCCTCACCGTGTGAGCGCCACCCCCACAACAGTCATGCCATATGCTCGTTATTAGGAATGGCCAGCATCGTTAAGAACACGGCTAATAACAACCTGCCAAATGGCACTTTCCCCTCCCCCCCCACACTAAGCAGCATTAATGCTTTGCTACTCTTACTAATGCCAGGCGTTCACAACCCTCTGTTGCCTCCCCCCCCAGAGCACCACATTCTCCTCGTCACCATCATCACTGCCATCATCATCCACAGGGCCACCAACCCAGCACTCCTATAGTCTCTTATAGCGAAGAATGGGAACTATGATGAGCCAAGGGATTCATACCTTATTCTGAGATTCCTCAATAATGCGATTGATCACTAATACCGAGATGCCTCAATAGCGAAGAATGGCCTTCTTAACAAATACTGGGATGCATTAAGAGTTAATGTTGCCTCTCCGACTGGCTAAGGAACTGGCTAAGGAACTGTTTTGGGGCGGCCTCGATCCCTCCTTTGTTAAAGTCCCAGGATTAGTGAACCTGCCCCATTATTCCCGCCTGGGGCATCACAACCCTAACAATGGATCCCGTTATTAAATCCTTATAAAAGTAACCACTTAAGAGCAATAAGAATTAACAACTCCATTGATTAATAACAACTCAATAAATTAACAGTAGCTATCTCAATTGATGGATGGTCAATACCTTAATTAATATCTTAATTTAGTTAAGTGTTTATATCTTAGTTAAGGGTTAACCTCTTAATGAATGTTCCATACCTCAACTCACGATTGCTGTCTTAATTAATTAATGGTTAATGTCTCAATGAATCAGTGGTTACTAACTCAATCCATGATTACTGCCCTGTTTCTCCAGAATACGCCCTAATACTTTTGGAGCAAAAATTAATATAAGAAACTGTCTTATTTTCGGGGAAACATGGTATCTTAATTAAAGAAGGGTTAATATCTGAATGAATGAATGAAGGGTTAGTATCTTATTTAATCCATAGTCGATATCTCAATTAAGGTGAGTTAATTAATGAGCAGCATCTTAATGGTTAATATCTTAAATCAAGGAATGAGCAGTAGACTTCATGAATTAACGACCAATATCTTAATGAACTTCCTACCCTCACGAATGAAGGGGTGCTGGTCAG